GCTTCAATAAACCCATGCTCCAGCGTGTGGGTGTGAAACCTGGCTCCCTTACAGTCAGTGGCAAAGTTCCCAATGATTTCGGGACAGCCAGGATTTCTCATTTCAGTAGAGCTGTGAGTCGTCCCCCACCCTGTTCTCCCTTAACAGTGTCTGTCATGTCCCTTGTGTATTCTGTGCAAGTTTGGTTTTTGAATGAATCTTTGCTGCAGTGCCAACTTGAGCTGTATTTTTTTTTTCTCTCCGTGAAATGTGCTTTGCCTTAAAGCAAGCCCAGCACCATGTTATGTCTCCTGTTCGACACATCACCAGCAATAAAGTCACTTCTCTCTGAAATCTGCCTTCTTAACCTGATTTGAACTGAGATAAAATACAAGCGTTATTTCGCTTGTTCAGTAGGTAGCACTCTGTGCATAGCCCATCTCCTTGCTGCTTCTGCATAATCAATCACTTCCTTCTTCAGTCCCCCAAAAGGTGATGGGGTAAAATAGTGTAATGGTAAAACAGGGTTGACAGTAAGATGGTTGTTTCGGGAGCTGGTGGTGGCAAGAAAGACTGGTATGTTAGGAACTCTTGAGGAAGCTGAGCTCAGGTCTCCATTGTCTTGCTGTCCTGACATGAGTCTGCACAAGTTACTTGGCATAGATATGTCAAGATGCAAATAAATGCTTTGAAAAACATCTATATCTAAGTGTCTTTGAAAAGGCAAATGAAATAACTCACCCTGTGTCAGTAAAACCAGAGTATTACTTTTAACCACAAAAGGAGTGCCATGAAGTCTCACGGTTGCATTGCCAGACTTATGTAAGCACTGTGGTATCTGGTCCAAATGTGCATGCTTTATTTTAAAACTTGCAAGACTTCAAGATACAGGCTTCTCTTACCTACCAGACATCATCATAAAACACAAACATAGCAGCTGCTTATTGCCTCATCAGCTCCTGGTGCTCCTTTGTGAAGCCCCAGCTGTGAAGCTGGATACGGCTGTAATGGAGAGGTAGTTCAGCAAGAATTGGTATTTTATTGTAATATCAACTGCAAGTGAAACGTGCATTTCTTTTAGGAGGTTTTTATTTGCATCACGGTGTATTTTTTGTAACGTGTCTGTGTAGTTTTAGTGCTGGGTTTACAAAAGAAGATGATTTAAGTTCCTTTTTAGGAACCCTACAGATGGAAGAAATCACATAGGGGAAACAGGTATTGCTGACAACAGCATAATTTAGACACTATGTCATTAGTGCCAAAGGTTAGTGATGTTACATATATGCTTACATCCCTTATGTTTTTGTTGGCTCTAAAAGGCTCTGGATTGGGATGTAGCGTTGCATATCGCCTCGCTGCAATGGAAAAAGTGATATGGTTCAAATAAGTCACAAACCAATTAATTTGCAAAACCAACACATTTGTATTTTTCTGCACTACTTTTGTTTCACACTGATAATGAGCCTTTCTTGTTACCAGGATCAATATGGTGCAGGGTTCTGTTGGGGATTATGGGGAATAAGCTCTCACTTTTTGTGTTTTGCTGGTCTAAAACTTGAGCAATGTTTGGGATGATAGTGTTTGTTCTTCCTGCAGCAGCAGAGGAGTAATGCAGCAGTTGAATTCCTGGAGAGAGACGTTTGTACTTGTTAAAGATACTCTTCAGCTCCTGTTACCACACGGTCTGTTGTGAACCAGGAGTAAATGTGATACTAGATATCAGAGGTCAGGCTTCCTGGTTTTTGTTTTTCCCTGCAGGAATAACAAGAGTCACCTGCAGGAAAGGCTGAGTGCCAGCTGGAATCATCCTCATGAAATGAATATGCTTCTCATGAAAATCAATCTGTGCTCAACACGAATTAGCGTGCTTTATGCTCAGCTGTAATGCTGCCATAAGATTCCTTGAAGGAGGTTTATAAATCTTCTAAAGCTACCTTTCAACATTCATTTCTTTACGTCATTAATTTATTATAGTGCATGTAAGCATCTGTTAAAGTTTATAGTGGAATCTTATCAAATGAACAGTGATGGTGCCCTGTTTTTAAAGCTTCAGAGCAACCAAAAAAAAAAAAAAAGAGGCAATGGTGGAGGAGTACGTAGGTAGCTGGGAAAACTTGCCACTCATAACCTATTCACACTGGCATAAGCTTGGGATTAGCTTTGTTTGGGCTGATAAATGATTATAATCATAACCAAACAATCCTTTCATCTGCACTTTTCCAAGCACTGAATCAAGATAGGTAAGTTACAATTCCCGTTTTAGAGAGAGGGGAAATGCCAACCTGAGCTAAATTACTTGTATGGGACCAAGGTTACAAAGCAGAACCCAGGTGTCCTGATGTCCTAGTCCTCCCTTCCTGCCTCTAAGAAATTTAATCTGGTGTTTGATTAAAAAATATCCTGATTTGGTAACAGCAGGTGTATTGTCAGAACAAAAAGATAACCAGCCTGCTTGTGATGTGCTGTAGGTAAACAAACTGGGAGTCTGAAACCTTAGTTCACTCTTGTCAGGTACACTGAGCGCTATGCCTGGATGCATCCGCATGGATGTCATCATGCTGTTTCACCATATGCCTTAGCCTTGGCATAGCTGTCTTTTGAAGGAGAGACACTCTGCCCTTGGGAAAGGTTTTGCTTTGTGTTGAGACTTCACTGAACTAGTTAAAAGGAGAGGGAGTGTGTGTTGTGTTGTGTGTGCATGGTACAGTTTCCTACCAAAAAGTTGCTTAATGCTGTATTAAGGCCAAAGAGTAGACATCAGATGCTTACTGTGTTTGGTTGCTACTTGTAGAGTTACTGGAGAAGGTTAAGGGAGCTTAGTAGATAAATTGTGATGAGATATAGTGGCACAATTTCCTTTTTCTTTCCTATCCCACCATCATAAAGTGGATTTGAACCATTGACACTGGAGACTTCTGAGTGTGTCAGAGGACTTGTGTGATTCCCGTTACCTTTCTGATTTCTGAATCCATTGAATGGATGTTTGAATTTACTGATTTTTATTTGATGTTCCACTCTGAACAAGAGTACAAAGTATGGTATATTTTGAGTAATCAGGTGCATGCTGGCATCCAGGACCTATCATTTATCTGAACCCCCTTTTGGGATGTGTTGTAATCAAACAAGAACTTGCCTTCATAATGATTTAATTTCTCCTTCTCCAGTGAAACATCATAAATGTAGATGTGTTTAAGATGGAAATAAGCTTCACCAATCTGAAATTGTTCTGGCTGTTATCTGGGAGCAGGTTGGGAAAGCAAGTGATAGAGGGAGATCAAGCACTATTCAGGAAACAGTAGCTTATTCTCAGTGTGAGCTGACAGGTAGCCAAATTGTGTAATGCCCTTTTTCTGATGACCATTGCGTTGCGACTCTTGGTGTGGGAGGTGGGGAAGCTCTGCTGGCTTCCATGTTCCTAGAGAGTTTCTCTTCTAGATGTTCCTGGACAACTGAGACTTAGGTGACAAGTGATGTATGCTTGGGGCTTTCTGTAGATGATGGAAAAAGCACATTCACAAAATATTTTGGGGCGTCACAAAGTTTTTGTACATCACTATTTTGTCAGAGTGATGCAATTACCTGGTAATGGTAAAGCTTTCCCTATAGCTCAGAAAGGGAAGAGGTTTTTTTTGTTTCTCCTTCTCTAGCTCCGTAGTAGATTGTTCTATAAATAAACCTAGACCTTAGGCTCTATTTAAATATATGAAATAGCTTTTAATAAATGTGTTAATAGGAAAAGCTGATCAATAAGTGATACTGTTCATATAACAACACCCACCCCCCCCCAACATCTTTGAGTGTTGTTTCTGATGTTCACACTCAAATGTAGACTTGTCTTGTGAAGGG